CCTCTACTTCTAGTAATGGGAGTGCCGCAAAGGTGCCGATATTTCTTGCTGCTTGCATGAAATGTGTGGATACATGTACTTTCATCTATTTTGTTTCATGGTACAGGGAGGGGGGAAAAATCCTTTTCATACACCTACATCTATCACATAGCAACTAAGAATAGAAGCAATATTGAGACAGATGGAAATGTTAACGGTGACAGCTCACAAGCACGAATCACACATTTGTGAAATAATGAAAAGGGTGGGCAGTTGTTATATGAACCCCATGTCAGTTGGTATGTTTTCCTGGCTATAATTTTTGCAAGAGTGCATCTCAGAGATATTTTTGGTTAATGGGAGAAGACGGTGCCTTGCCCTGCCCTGCACCTTGCTGGCATGTGGGTGTAGGGATTCACTGAGGCAGGCGAGCCATTTGCTTGCAAAACTGCACATCAGGCATCCTGGGTGCTGCAGGATGTCCTCTGACACTTCCCTGCCAGGGCATTTTAGTATTCCTAACCATGTGGTGGGAGAGACGCAGACAGGAGGTGTAAAACCATTTGGAAACCCAAACACAAGGGAAACACATGATACTCACACTGGTTTCAAACCCTTACTTCCAGGCATACAAGGATTAACTTTTTTTCTACGTATCATCTGCCTATGTTCTGTGGTGCCTCTTACCAGCTGGACTCACTGACCACGAACTAAAATGGGGATTATAAAGCCAGCCCAGTGTTTCTAACCCACGTTTCTCAGTTCTTTGTAGTTCTTCATGCCCAAAAAGCCATAATCCCCATTTCAAGGACTGCCTTGACAAGCCTGTTGTCACTAGCCCCAGTTTCTTAGCCCCAATCTAATGCTAGCTCAAAGGGGAGCAAGCTGTGAAAGTGCCTGTCCATATGGATTTTACCTTGTGCTACCTGTCTCTTTCCCAGGCCTGAGGAACCTACTGATTTTCAATGACTTTGAGAGGTACTGTTTCCTGCAGATGCTGTTTAATGAACTTGACGTGGCTATTTTTTGCTGGAGGAATGAACTAGATCTCCCGAAATCTTATGGATGCTCTCTTTGTTTGCGTGTTTGATTAAAAAAATTCGAACAGCTACATCTTTGAGCACTCTGTGGTGATTTACTGCAGTGATTCATAGTGAGACTTACAGCTCTGAGGAAAATCTGTCCCTCAGGATTCATCCACCTTTCCAGAATTTCTCATGGCAGAGCAATCGTACACCACCATATTTTGGAAGCAGCGTATGGTTACTAAATGGCAACCAGTCTTTCATTTTCTTGGAGCGTTTCTGAGAGCTCAACAGTATCAGTGTGATAAAGAAACAAAATAAAGGGCCTGCCTCACAAAGGGAAATGTGTGCATCCAGCCACCTCAGAATAATGAAATACTAGACATAATCCTCCAGCACACATGTCTGTGAATGGTGACCACCAAAAATAAATAGTGAGGACTATCAGACCATTTGAAATGGGAAGTTATTGAATGATGCTAAAAATCAAGTGATTATCCAAATGGAGAGATGCCAAGAATGATGAAGTTGGAGGGAGACCATGCCTACCTCAAACACCATATGAAAACAACATCTCATGCTGGACACAGACACCCAGCAGCCACTAGACCACTAAAGACAACACTCATGGTATCAGGTAAAATAAAAGGAAAACTATAAAATGGAGCAAGACAGACAGCAAAACTTTGCAAGACAAAAGGATAGTTGAAGGGGATGGGACATTTTACAGTATCATAACTATAAGCGATGAAAGGTGGTGATGAACCACCACCACGCTGGTGACAGCTCTTGGAGAAATAGTAGATACTAAAATCAATAAAGCTACTTGCAGATGAAGGTATGAGTCACCGTGAGCAAATGTGACCGAATAGGGCCCAGTGTCATTTGTTAGCAGCTTTCCATCCCATGCGACTGCAGAGAACTATTAGAATTCAACACAAACATAGCAACAGAAGCAGAAATACTGGAGTGAAGAGGGGGGTTAAGAGCTGGAAAAGAAATAATGGGTGTAAAATTAAAATATAGGAAGATATACAAGATTACCCATGGAGTGGAAAATTGATACGAATAGAAACTCCCTAGCAACCTCCTATATAACAGAACCATTTTTGGGGGGAAATGGATAGGTCTTAGTAGGGCTCATCACCAGTAGAGCACGGTAGGTGTATTCAAGTATTAATTCTACCACCTGACTTTTCCATAGAGTAAGAAAAAAAAAGATCAGGGGAAGTTTCACCACGAACTGAATGAAACCGAGACTGCAAACTAGGTGTGTGTGAGTTTTATCCAGCCTGCCCATGACGGGTGCTTCCAAGACCCAGCTCTTCTCGGGCTAGTTTCTCCTCACCTTGGAGCTCCCAAGAAGTGCCTCTCATCACATCCTGATAGGCATTCCCAGAAAATGGTCTACGAGGGGAAATGGAAAAATACATAGCGGGGATCCTCCCCGGCGCCGTCCCTGGGCTCCCACCCGCACATCTCCGCGAGAGGAGGGTGCCTGCTTTTCTTTAATGATAAAAAAACACCTTCCCCCCCTCCCCGCCGCGATAGGTACTAACGCAGAAGAGAAGCCAGGTGACGGAGTTGGTGGGATCTACCCCTGGTGCCGTCCTGCAGCACGTCCATTTTAGCTGTTTATCCAGGGGCTGCTATCGACTAGCCTCTCCCGGGGGATGGGGACGGGGAGGGGGACGTGCGGCATCCCCGGCCCCCTTCCCGCAGGATGGTGCCTCCCGGCTGGGAGGCGGTCGCCGTAGCAACCGCGGCGGGGACACTGACACCCACAGCGGAGGGGGGAGCCCGGCCCGGTGCGGTGCGCGGCGGGGATGCCGCGCCGTCCCCCGCGGTGCCAGCCCGCTGCCTGCCGCGGGGTTCCCTCCTCAGCGGAGCTACGTGCGAGCCGCGGCTGGAGGCTGGGGGGGGGGCACGTATCCTCCCTCCTTCCCTCTTTTCTTCCTTCCTTCCTCCTCACCCGCTCCCTCCCTCCTTCCTTCCCCGGCGGGCCACGGCGCCGCAGCGGGGCCGGCCGCGGGGCGCCGCCGGTTCTGCCGCAGGGAGCGCCCGTTCACCGCCGCGCCGTGGCGAGCTGGGCTGAGGGGAGCCGGACTCCCCGCTCCGTGTCCCCCTCCTCCGGCGGGGTGCTGCCGGTGTCCGGGAATCCCCATAGCGCGGAGGTGCAGGCTGGCCGGAGCAGAGCGGCGGAGGCAGCGTGGACTCCTCCTCCGCGGGAGCGCACCCCTCCGAGGCAGCATGGGCGGGGGGGGGGAGAGGGACACATCTCCGTGAGGAGCCGGAGAGCCCCAGAGCTTCTCTACCTGAGAGCACTGCCGCTACCGCCGCTGCTTCGCCAAACTGCTGACTTTCCAGAGCTTATTTTTAGCCCGGAGACTAAATATTATTAGCTACCTTTCTACGTAGGAAGAATCGGAAGGGGGGAGGGGGTAGAGGGAGGCACTAGAGAGAGGGAGATGAGCAGAAAGCTTATCCGAATGATCTCCAGGTGGGGGGGGGGGGGGGCTGCCTTTGGGTTTCAGGCTTGTCAAACACCACCACCACCCTCCCTTTAATTATAGCAAAGTAACTGCGGATATTGGATCATCAGCAGTACATTCACGGCTCTCCCTCCCAGCCGATGGTTGCGTACACAGAGGGGCCATCAGGACTCCCTCAAGCTGAGGACCAGCTCATTTCCATGTAGGTAAAGATCAGATGCGTCTTTTTATCTATGCAGGATCAGTTGTGCACGGTGCCAGCTAGGGCTCAGCTGCATCTCTTTAGCTATGCAAAATCAACTTGCATCCTTAGCTAGAGGGTTAAAAATAAATAAATAAAAAAATCCGTTGCATCTGCTTATCTAGGTAAAGCTCAGTTGCGTCTCTGCCCAAAGCATGCACACGCACATAGAGAAGAGATTCCCAGATTAAAATCAGGCACAACTTAACTCAACTCGTAGTACAATCTCACCAAGCTTCTCCTGCCTTTTCTCGCCTCTGCACACCGAGCAGCCAGCAAGGTAACAAAACTAAAGACTAATGGCAAAGAGCAGGCATCCATCCCCGCGCCGCGGAGGGGGAGAGGCAGGGGCCGGGGGGGGGGGGGGTCACCCCTCCGCTTACCTTGGTCACAGCTAACACCACGGGCAGTGGCTAGATCGCGGAGATAAACACTGGCATTTCCCAAAGTTGACACCGTCAAACCAAGCCCCGGAGCTTGCAAGACTCTGTGGGGTCTGGTTTTGGGTGTTTTATTTCCCCTCCTCTCTGTTTCCTATTCCAGCCCGCACCACCAGGAATCCAACTTCGCCCAGCTACAGCGGGGCGAGAGGGCGGCGGGCGGAGAGGGGAGGGGAAGGACCGGGAGCAGGGAGAGGGGGGTGGCGGAGGGGAAGGGGAAGACGGCGGGGAGAAGCCGGTATCAAGCGCCAGCAGCTCCCGGAGCCCGCAGGGGCGCGGAGCTGGGCGCGGAGCGATGCGGAGCAGGGCCGCCCCCGCCCGGTCCCCGCCGCCTCTGTCCAGGGTGCTGCCTCCGCCGCTTCGCGTCCCCCCGCGCCGTCACGTGCCGCGGCCGCGCCGCTCCGCACACCGCGCCCCCCCCCCCCATCTCCCCAACCGCTCCCTCCCGCGGAGGGCCGCGGAGCGCGTCCGTCCGCGTGTGTGTGTGCCCGTCCCCCCCACCCCGGCTGTCAGCCGCGGAAAGAGCCGGGGGGGAAGGAAGGGGGGGGGAAGCTCCCGGCGGCAGCTCCAAGTTTCTCAAGCGCGGCGTCTTCATCGCAGCCTTAAATCAAAGAGCTTTGCGATTAAAGTTACACCGTCTAAAGCACAATTCCCCCGGCCTCCGCGCCTGACATGCTGCTCTGGTGTAGTAAGTGCCAAGAAAGCCGAGCCCGTGATACCAGATACTGTCGTTAAGCAACAACTCAATCTTTTTCTTAATTTTGTTGTTGTTGTTGTTGTTTTCTCTCCAGTTATAAAAATAGGCTTTTTTATTGGTACTCACCATTGTTTCTTTGCTGTCCTGGAGACAGAAGTGTCTTAAAATCCAGTCTCTCCAACAGATGCTGGAAGGTAATGTGTCTTGTTTGAAGTCATCATGTGAGAACTTCTGCTTTGCTCAGTGGATCGCCCACCACTTGGTGTGACTTATGAATCTAATAACCCTTTGCAATATCCGCAAGCTTAAACTCTCCACCACCTTGGTGCCTACAGAAGACAGAAAGCAACTGGCAGGGAGTTTTAAAAACCTATAGATTTACGCAAATGCCTTAGCTCAGAGTCACGTTTCCCTTTGAGTTATTACGTGAGCTTAATGAATGAGAGGGGTTACCAGCTAACAACGGTATAAAACGTGATCCCAGCCGCCTCCCAGGAAACCAGAGCGGGACGGAAAGTTCCCGAGGAAAGTCCTTCCCGGCAGTGGAGCCAGCCCTGGCTCCCGCCACCCTCCGTCCGCCTCCTGGCCCGCACCGGCGGCCGGCCCCAGAGCTCTCCGCTGGGGACAGGTAAGTAAATGTTTGCCTTTTGGTTTTTTTTATTCATTTATTCATTTATTTTTAAATGTCACGTTCACTCCGGCTCACACCGGGAAGCGCTCCAGGGACTTGTTGCATCCTACCTCCTGCCACAAGAGGAGCGTGGCAGAGTTGCCAAGACGAGTTCCTTTCGGAAACCCCTGCCTTTCCCAGGCGCAAATTCCCAGCACCTCCTCCTTCCCTCGCTGTGCCCCCCGGGGCTACCCCACACCAAGTGGGAGGAGGGAAGCAGGGTGCATCCCGGGACCCGGCCTTCCCCTTCTCCCCTTCCTCGCCGCCCGTCCCCGGCCGTTCCTGCTACGGCTCCGTCCGTCCGTCAGTCCGCGGCGTAAAACCACCCACCCGGGCGCAACCGCTGTCCCTTTCCCCACGGGAGGAGGTCGGTCCCCGCTGTTATTCGTGCCACAAGTCGCACAAAGTCCTTGCCCCAGCATTTTTGTCTCCGAAACTCGAGTTGATTACTCGCTGAACAGCCCAGCGCTGAGCGTGTGCGGGGCGGGGTGGGATGCGGGGTGGGGGTTGGAATGCAGGGAGGGCTGCTTCGCCTTTGGTGTCGAACTGTAGGCAACTGAACCCGAACTCTCCAAAGTTTGTGAGAGCTGCCCCTCCTAACAGGAAAAAGCAAGCCCAAGCCTCAGCAGCTCATCGCCCGCTCACATTCTCTCCCGAGCGACTCTCGCAATCGCGTTTACGGGTCGTTTTCTTCCGAGCGCCCCTTCTCCCATGCCCACCCCCCGCGTCCCAGGTACCTCTGCCCGGGAGCCCAAGCAATCAGCCTCTTCCATGACAACCATCTATGTTGATCCATGCAATAACCAGCAGATGCTGCCCTAGGACTGGTACAGCTGGTACTTCCCTGCCTCGGGGGCAAGGTGTTAGAAGAAAAGTCAAGTGGTCTCCAGCAACGCTGCCCTGAAGAGAAAGAACTGCTGGATCCCTTCATCGGCGTCCCGCACTTGCTGTATGTCATGCAGCAGGCAGAGCCTTTCAGAGAGGCTGTTGCCGGTGTAAGGCTGCACCCAATAGATCACCCTATCAGTTGTCACCCGAGCTGCATCCTTAAGTATTGATCTTCAGTCAGGAAGCTGAAGTTTTCTTCCAGCAGTTGGAAGTACTCATCATTTGTGTTACTACTAGTTGGGAATACTGCTTTTTAAATAACATTAAAGAAAAAAAAAACAAAACAAAACAAAAAACCACCCAAAAACCAACTCCAAACCAAACTGTTTCAGCAAGTGGGCTTGCAGTGAATTCTGCCTTCCCCCAGCCTTCTAAGCAAACAGCTCCTGCCCCTCCTTCAGGGGAATAAAATAACTATGGTAATATTTACTTTGGGAAGCTAGTCACACAGTTCATATTTTGAACACACAAATATGTATTCAAGTCTTAAAAGTTTCTGAATCCATGGAGTTCTCAGTGGTTCTGGGTAGAGAGAACTTTATAAATATGAAATATCAGTAAAAAAAATATTTTTACATACTTATTTCATAGCTCAAAAAAGAGTCTTTCATTGAGAAAGCAGCTCCAGCTCTGCCACTTGTAAGGAAGTACCTACAGTACCTACAACACTGTTCCCCCTCAGCTTCTCATCTCATTAAGTTCTTAGATATTTCAATTTTCTGAGGAAGGTCTCAGTTGTCAGAGATGCCCAGAAGAATCCTTTGGTGGGTCACAGTATTATACTGATGTAGTAATGTTAAACTTTTAAAGCTTCCCAGGAGATCCACAGCAGGAACTGGCTCATTTCCGTCCTGCCCAGCTGCATTTTCCAGAGCAAATCAATAGGGTTTGCTAAGACTACTAAGGCAGGGTCATGCTGACAGTACCACAAGCAAAGAAAGAGCTGACTATAAGAGCTCCTGGTCAAGACTTCTGCTTAAGACAACACAATAGAAATCCACCCACTTGGGGATAGGTGACAGATTATAACCTCCCTTGCTCCTTAGGCCAAATTAAGCATGTATTTGCTTTATGTCACTTCAATCACATCAGTCTGAAGTAACAAATGCAAAACCATCAGAGTAATCAAGAGAATGGTACCAAAGTGTAGGGAAGGAAAAAAAGTCATTGGTAGGGTAATATGGGATGCTATGGAGTATGAGAATTATCTGGCAGAAGAGGATGAGGTACTATAAAACAATCACAGTCCTTTCCTTATTGTGTCATTCACTGGTGAGAGAACAGCCCAAGTTGTTCTAATGGACCAGAGCTGAAGATGGGACATCAGTCAATGCACAGAAGTGCTGGAGGAGAGTCACTGACAGACAGCTGGGAGATATTCCTGCAAGAAAGGTACCGGAGAGGGAATGGAGTAGAATTAAGCCCAGATGCCTGTTGAGTTTTCAGCCACTTCCTTTCTCTACATCTTGTTTCCGACTATGGTTTTTACCTTTAGAAGGGCTGATCCCTAGGCTATGGGAGATTCAGCCATGAAAAATCACTTGATGTGAGTAGGTGTAGGGGATTATTATTCCTTATTACCATAGAGGGGCACAATAGATTCAAAATTACTCATTGGACAAGTCATACACATCAGTACAAGTCAGGACCAGTGAGTAGAGTTTGGTCCACCACTTAAAACTAATAGTCAGGTGATCCATTTAAGGGGTGTTGAAACAGGATAGCTGTTAGCTTTTGCCAGAATGACAGGGCCCAGAATTTGCTATATCCAGGTAGTTCATACATATAAGGCAATGTACATCTCTTGTTCCAAGTCTGTTTATCTTGGATTTACATTGTTACCAGATGAAGTATACAGCTGTAGGATTTGACTTCAGTGGGACTACTCATATGTAAATAGTGACATAACTGTTTATCAGATGAGGCCTAATTAAGTGGGAATCAGTCATACATTTTCCCTTCTCTCAGACAAAAGAATGCAAAGAATACTGCAGGAGCACTGCTAGAAAGCCACAGCACCTTGAACCATCCTGCCAAACATCCAAAAATCCTCAGCGAGCTGCAAACATTCATTCCCTGTCTTAAAACATTTTTGAAAACAATGAGCTATTCTTGGTTGGCTTTTTCACATACTTGAAAGGCTACCAAAATGTGTGGACAACTGCTAAGTGCACGCTAAAAGACACCTTACACCCATTGTGCACAGACTGCTCCTTCAGAGATCCCTGAAAAACCACCTGGAACACCAGCGTTAGCAATCTGAGCAGAATCAGATGCTAACAGCAGCTGTCAACTTTCTGTATTATTACATCATTGCTGTGTGAAACAGGGCTGCCAGACATCAAATGGCGTGTTTGAAAGAAAGGTCCCCCAGGGGTCACTGTGTGCTGGTTTGGCTGGTAACCTTCTGCTCCTTCAACAGGCAGGTTTGGCACCTGCCCTGCTACTCCCTGGAGGGTAAATACCATCCTCCCAGTACGTGTTTAGAGCAGCCTCCCATCAAGTGTTGATTTTCTGTGGCTAATCTCCTCCTCCTAGAGAGATTATCCCACTCCCAGATCTCCATCTTTTCCTGCTGCAAGCCTTAGCAGACTTTCACTCTGCCTTCTCCCTCCCTGGAAGAGTTTTTCTTTCTTTCTGAGCCTACTCGTCTTCAAACTGCTCCCAACTGCGTATATTCGATGCTGGTAACATGCAGATGAACATCGTAGTCATGATCCCACTCAGATACTAAACAAGCCTCCCACCAATGCCTAGTCCTCATTTAAAGCACTAGAACATTTCAGCTTGCTTTCAGTCTCCTGAAAGCACCAGGAAATCCTCTGGAGTAGGCAGGCGGCAGCAAATGTGTTTGCTGTGTTTTCACCTCAGAGAATGACTCGGCATGGACTCGCCTCTGAGTGCATGGTTGGAGGGCAGAGAGGGTGAGACCCCTAAGGTGTGGTGGTGGATCCATAGCCAGCACAGAGCCTTGGCTCCTGCTCACCTCCATTCAGCACTCGAGGAGAGGGGCTTTCAGCATCAGCATCAGTGGGAGGCATTTTGCATTTTGGCTTCTGTTAAAATCACAAGTTGTGCCAAGGTCATGTTCATGCTTGGTTAAACCAGAAGAGAGACCCAAAGGAGAACTGAAGCTTGGTATGCCCAAGGAAACCCAGACCTGGTATAAGTCAAGATAACATCAGGGTTTCCACCATCCAAGGTGTTTTGAGCAAACACCTTGAGATGCGTGCCTGGGGCAGTGTTCCTGCACTGCAGGGGCAACAGTGCAGGCTACAGCGGGAAGAAGCATGGCAAAGTTAGGAATGGGGCTGCCAGCACTGTGTCAGCCTGTTTACTCATGCTGGAAAATCCTTTGCTCTGCATTCTCGACTGGTTCTAGGTCCTCCTGCATCGCTCCTGCAGCACACTGGGGCTGTACCCAGGGTTTAAGAACGGATGTTTGGTTTTGCATTAAGTATTTATTTGCCATCAACTGTTGTAAAAGTTTTGCTCAAGCTATTTTTGTTGTTTATGGAAAAGGCGCTGTTTCAGGAAAACTTCTAGAAATAAGGTTTCGTTTTTCTCAAACTACCACTGATGCAAATGTAGTTCAGACTGTATCTTATCTGCTTATGTGGCACTCATTCAGGTTAGCTGCAAAAGACAAGAGAGGAGATAAATGTAATGGAAACTATTGGCCCACTTAAGTTCTCCTGGATGACCTAAGCAAAATGAGCCAGTGAGTATCCCTTACTAGAAGAAAACCAGAGATAGGGAGAGAAATCAGAACCTGCAGAAAAAAAGAAGCATGACAGCCGTAATCTGTTACTATTGCAACCTGATTACAGGATTCATTGACATGATGGGGGACCCAGTCTTTTGGCAGTAAAGACAATGTGTTGCTTCACATAACCACAGGGAAAGTATTTCTGGGAATAGCAACCTTTAAAACTGATTTTTTTTTTAAATTTCCTTTAAGAAGAGCAAACCGACAACAAGACCGTGAACAAAATAAGCTACTCCACCACTTCATCACACTTTTGAATGCAGTTCTGTACAGCCCTGAGTTAGTAAAGAACTCCGGTACTTCCAGTACAGAAATACTCTTATGGAACTAAAGGGGATTAGCCTTAATTGTACTTATGAGCAGAAAGTAAACACCTACTTTAGTTCCTTTCTAAGTTAATGTTTATAAGGAAACTATCTCCCAAACTGTATTAATCTACTTCTCGA